ATATATATATATATATATATATATACACGTACTTTATTACATGCCTTTACACACACACTTCTATTATAACATATTCTACTTATGTTGATTCTTTAATTTCATATTGCGTAATTCTTAATAATTTGCATATTAAATTCAACAATAATTTATTAAGAATGTACATATTTAATTTGGTTTCTTTTTGTGCAGGTTATTCCTTGGTTGCAAAGAATGCATAGTAAAGAATGCATAGACGTCATGATCATTAATGAACAATCTGATGAACTATCACGGAAAGTTAATAACATTTTATTCGTTCTAGGTAACATTTGCTATATAATTTATATATTTGAAATACAATTCACAATACATAATTTCGTAATTATATAGGATACAAAGATGGAAATGGAAAAGATTAAATCAATTAATATTTTATTTCGAATATGGAAATCGTAGTAGCTTAATGGTATATACTTTCAAATGGATATGTATTCTTGTATTAAATTATTAAATTTGTTTTCGTATTTTGCTACAATATTCTTTTTCTGAACGCTGATGCGCAATTAAACGATTTAGAGCAAAATGTCATACGTGTATGATTTTTAAAATTTTTTAAATACATTTAACTGTGAAATTTTGATTTGAGCAAACATTTTCGAGTATTTATAATACACGACATGATATATTACTAACGTGCATGCTTCACTTTAATAACGAACATTCAGAATACAATTTCTACAAATATTTCTGCAAATATTGAGAAATATTTATAATTTTGAATTAATATCTTTAATACATACTCAAGTATATAATCATTTTCTAGAAAAATAGCAGTAATTTCTAAATGTACTCTTTGCCCTTCCTCTTCTAATCAGAAGATTTATTTTCAGAAAATTTCGCTCGTTTATTGTTTCGAAGAACAAGAAATATGTAACTGTCTTTTCCGTTATTTTAAATAAAATAATTTAATTATTATAAATGAATCGTTCATGAAATCGTTCGTGAAATAATGTTTGGGAATTCAATCAGTGATTCAATCATTATGAGTAAATAGTTAAAATTGTTTAATAATACATAGAAATATCATTGAAATGCATTATTTTACAGTTTGAACAATTCATTTGGAACGATTAAATTATTTTATTTCTACAATATTTCTAGACATTATTCAATAATTTTCACGGAATATTTTATATTACGATTAAACAAATTAAATTAATTATTTCACTCAATAATTTAAAATCATTTCTCTTAAGTACATTGTTCAAGATTCTCATAAATTATTAGTTAAAAATTTTAAATAACACTTAAAAACATTACGAAAGAGAATTTATTGTTTAATGTTGCAAGTAAATTATTAGAAATATTAGATAATGTTTAAATAATTAGAATATTAGAATAATAATATTTAAAAATTCACTTTGAAAGTTTAATCGACGTGCACACGATGAAGGTTTAACTTATAATGACCTTTTTCGCTGCTTAACCTTCGGGTAAAGTCAGTGATGCACAACAGGTGGTAGCCTTTGTCAGTACTTTCAAAAACATTCTTTCTACATACACAGCAATCAATAATTTTACAGTTTTATAGTCCCCTTAATTTAAATACTCTAATTTCTATATTTTTTACAAAATGAAACCGTTGCACGGTAGTTTTTAACTTGTAATTCTTTTGACATGTACTAAATGCTAATTTATAAGTCTGTGACATATAACACTAATTTATGTAAAAAATAATTATATTAATTATAGGATCAGAAATTAAATTGGTCATTCTTAAGAATAGCTGTGCCAATAAGAAAGCATTCGCGTTTAATTCAAAAAATAATTTTCGATGCAAAAGTAACATTATTCATACTTTCTGCTTTTAATTCTTATTACTAGTGGCGCTGCGATGCAAAACCTACGTAAATCGATATGGTAGGACGTGACTTGAAAATGGTACGGGGGTCTAGTAATCCCCAAAACATGGAATACGAAAAAGCATTGAATGTCGGGTTTATTCTAGTTAGTTCTAGCCAATAATCAATTCCATCATGTACACCTCGTCTGTGCCTGTGTCATTTATAAGGGAATAATTTTGCCTACAGTTAGCACATTCGTTGGCGAAAAGTACAGAATGTATTCGGTAGATGTCTGTACGATTCAGATACGTTGCTTAGGATGCATTCCAAACTCCAATCATGAATTCACACCATTATATAAATTATCAATACATACGACAGTATAAAATCGTTACAATAATTCCGTAATCCAAGAAATCAGTACAATGAAACTTGCTCGATTTCTTACATGTATGTATGTATCTTTTGCATCTATCGTCCCTAAAAGTCAATTCTTTCGTAAAATCAGAACTCTCGTAATTTGCCTGTCATCCAGTATATCACTTTGCACAATCATCGAAAACGCAGTTTATATAAATACGGCTCATGTAAACTCGATTATATAAATTGGTTCGGCGATCGTAAGTAGAGCGAGAGAAAAAGGGTCGAGGGATGTTCTATATATACGCAGGATGGATCTACGAAGAGGAGGTGGGACGGAACGATACAGGGCTGCAGTTATCTATGATAATGACTTCCATTCAACGACCGGCTCCGCCAACGCGTTATCATACGTACGCTATTATTAATACAGGCCTGGAGTGTATGATGTTTCTCCGGGGTTTGATTCACGCGTTTCCGCCTGATTTTTTTCCCCGTTATTACATTGCATTAACGATTATCGCGTGGCAGGGGAGAGAATCATCGAGCATACGATAATCGAGTCAGTCTAGCAATCCGATAATTAAACGCTCTCGCCAGGCTGTCCGACGTTTCAGTCGTGAATTTCACCGTGAACTGTCAACGAATCGTCCACGCGAAACGATACAAATAATTCCATCACGGACCGCGCGACCGATGTAATCCACTGATTCTCACCGAAATCGAAAGAAAGGAAGACGAAAGAGAGAGAGAGAGAGAGAGAGAGAGAGAGAGAGACAAGCGGTGGAACAAGCGAACGAAGCGTCGCCAGTCTCTTCTCGATGCTTCTTCTTTATTAATAGACGCGAAAAAAAAAAGTTTCGCCTACCCTTTTGCGAAGTTTGTTCGACGAAACAGTTGGACGCGGCGAACCCCAACGTGTACACGGATGGGCGACTTTGTACACGCGATACGGATCCTAAAAATACACGTAACGACTAAAAATACTGTTCCATCGCTGTTAAATACATTCGTTCCGAAGAAGTAAGCTCCGCCGTAAGAGAAGAATTGCACTCGTGTACGTGCGGCGTATTGGCAATTGAAAACGATAGAGGTAATTTAGAAATGACGCAGATGTACTAATTTGATCTGTCTTTGAGATATTTTTATACTCATTCCGTTTTTCTAAGGAAAAGATAACTTGCACTGCTTTTCCACTGACTCTCTCTTCGATTCTAAAATAAAAGAGGGAAAAAGGAATACTATTCGAAAGAATACAATTCAATTTACTCGATATTATATATTATGCAAGTATACATTGAGCATGTTATATCTCGCAAGAAATTAAAGCTAAATAAAAGATACGTTCTTGCGAAATAATTTGCGAAGTAATCCAAACGTTGAACAGCATAGACTCAGTCTATCTCTCCCATCACATCATGATCAAACGGCACAATTTTTCCTCTTACTTAACTACCAGGCCAGTACTTCCGATCAAACTTTCCAGGAAACGCGAAAGCAATCTCGTGAAGGCATCTCTTTCAGATGCACGGCGTACGCACAGTCGGCGAGGGGTTCGGCCGAGGGGTGGGAGCGACGCAATTAGGAGAGAACATAAATCCCGCAGTTTAGCACACTTCCTCGTAGCGCCGGTAGATCGGAGAATACAAATCAATCGGCGTAACGGCCGACTGCGCATTTAATTTCCATTCGGCTTCTGATCCACGCAGACAGGGTGGGCTTTTCAGGGTGGCAGAGGGGACAAATAGGACAAACAGGATGACGGAGGATAGGAGAAATCGTACGGATACAAATGGGAGAAAGAAGCGATAGGAGGGAAGGATGGGGAGGGAGGGAGAGGAAACGGTGGAAAGTGGGTTAAGGGGAAAGGATGAGAGTGTAATTTGCGAACACCGACGCAAAGGAGATTTAGGACACGGAGGATGGACGATTGGATGGTTTGGAAAGAGACGAAACGTGAACGTATTAGATTGAACGTGGAGGAGGAGGAATTGAGGGAGAAAAAGGGTGATGTGAAAAGAGAGAATGGAGGATGAGACAAGCAAGTATATAACAGTGGTAACGTAATATGTTTGTAAAATTTATTTTAAAGTTTCTATCTTTTAACATAAAACGATGAAACATATGAATGACAGATATAATTCAAAATACTGCAGTAACTTGGTTAGTACAGCGGACGGAAGTGAATCGTTCAATCGTGTCTTCTTCCAAAAAATACACTGAAATTAAATTGATATCGTTTCTCGTCTCGTTGTTGCGCTCCCATTCGTTCATGGAGAAAGAAAAAAAATCGTCAAATCAAAAGGAATGAAAAGGTAATAAATAAAACGAGATAGGTAAAAAAAAGAAAAAAAAAAAAGAAGGATACGAGTAAATTTGCAACGTTTACTGAAAAAGGAACGTACATCGGGTATAGGATAACGAAAAAACGGGGACACGAACGGAAAAGAAAATTCTCTAAAACGTGGAAGATTTTCTCCGGTCTATCTAGCGTAGGCGTTTTCATTTGCATTCGTTTCGTTGTAAACGGATCCTGGAATCGATGAATGACACCAGCGTAAAAAGGATTTACCGTGTTCGGCGACGAATCGACGGTGATCCGATTCGCATTAAGCCCGCGACGTGCACGGCCGGATCGAATTTGTACGCGTCGTTACGCGCTCGCGCTACCTCCTCCTGGAAAATGAGCACATTCCAATAATTGCGCTTTCGGTACATTGTTTACTCGTACAATAACGATTGCCGCGGCTCTTTCCTCGCCACTCGCGTTTCTGCTGATAAGCTTTGTAATCATTGTTGTCCGTTTGCGCAAAAGGAGACGTCGGAACGCCCGTCCACTCGTGCTTTCTAACACGATTGTTCATTCCACTGCGATGGAATTGTTGCAATTTCTTTTCGTCGGAGTTCGTCATCTTCGATCCAAAATCATCCTGAAAATCCTTTCTTCTCTCGAATCTTTTTGGAAGAGAAAAATTGTACAGTCAAGTTTCATTACTTTCGCGTTGCGATTAGGAAAGCTATATCAAACTTTTGTCTCTGGGATTGTCCCTAGGTACACTGATCTTATAGAAAGTCGTAGCTTCTCAACAAGGCGCGACATCCAGCAACTGTTTCATCGACGAACGAACAAACCGAGGAGGCCGGACGAATTTTTACGCGAGGAAACAAGAACGAGTAGCGAGTGACTGGCTGGAGTAATGGTGCTCGACAGGACG